ATGAACCATAACATCGGAGTAACCCCCTACTCTTCCGAAAGGTGCAATGGGTTCATTAAAGTGCACACGAACCAGATGTATACACTGGACCTCCATTTTAAGTCCTTATCCGAGAAGTCTTGGTTCTACCAACCGAACCATGGGCGAGGAGCGGCTGGAACCAGCGCCAATGTTAAAGGCCGTAGCTAGCGGCGCCCCTGCCTTACTGCTCGGCCACTCGACTCGACACCTTACCGCTCGGCCACACATGGGGGTTTTTTTGGCGATTCCTCTAAAATCAGATAAAATAAAAAGATATTAATTTAGCATAAAATAAGTAACTTGTTATTCTAATTTAGAATAGCTAACCTTGTAATATTACTGGAATAATAGCTAATACTAATAGTGATATGAAGTTCACATATCCACTGCATTAGTGCTTAATGCACTACAAGAGAAAGGAACCAAAAAAAAAAAATATATAAAATATAGTGCAGTCTTTAAATTGTAATTTGTTCTTGTTTTATGGTTTGCATGGCAAAGTAATAACATATATGTTGAAGCTATGTAATTTGTTCTTGTTATAGTATAACCAGCAAACATTTCTTTCAGCTACATCGTAGGCCTAGAGCACAACATTTTCATATCAACATTAAGTATCAAGCTTACAGTACAAGAGGCTAATGGCCACAAAATTTATACTGAGTATGATGTAGCTACAATAGGGTACTAAGAATAAACAGGTAAATCATTTTCTGCGGCCTACCAAGACACTGATTGACATATATTGTATAGTCTGGATGAAGTCAACAAGAGAATCCTTAATGGACCTTTTAGATTATTTGGAGAGCAAGACCTGACGATAGATGGTTCACCACTGATGTGGTTTGTGATTTGTTGTTCTCCGATCATAAACAAAAAGGATTTCTCGACTTCCCTAAGTGTTAAATATTGTTATCGTAATATGACCAGATTATTGCATCACCTTCAGATCTGTCGTTTCTGTTCCCGTTATGATAAGTACTGTATGACTTCTGGACATTCTGAATCCACTGTGTATAATATCTTCAGTGTCAAAGAGAGAGACCATTTGAAGGCCGCACAGACAACTGTATACTATAATGTATACATATTACTAAAATAAGGTGGTAAGATAACAAGTGTTACTTAATTACTCCCAGGGGCCTACCAGGCCACTGATGAAAATTTGTAGTTCAGCCTGGATGACGTCAATGGGAAAATCTGTAACGGATCTCATTGAATATTTGAAGTTGCAAGATCTATTTATTGACTGTAGACTTTGTTGTTTTTTTTTTTTCACTTGTCTTGATCACAAACAACGTTGGTGTTTTGACGTGGTTGTGTTAATCCACCCTCAACCACAGCGATAATCCACTGGTACTGTTGTTAGTACTATTTTTGATGCGTAGTAATCATAGCTTTAACCATCTTATTATGTAGTTTATTCCTGTTAATCCGATCTTGAATTATAAATTGAGGATTAAGCAGGGTTGAAGCTGGCAAAAAATATGTTTTGTTGGATTGCAATCCTATCTTTAAAAAAGTACTACCACGAACAAGAGGGCGTTCTTCAAAAGAAGGCAAAAGGCATTCATGAATATGGCACCCCCTATCTTGTACTATGTTTAACATTTCATTACATACATACAAAATTACTGCAGTCGGCCCTCCTGCAATTCTGTTCTCTTTAGCCAAACGAACGACGGAATATAAAGAAATCTGAATGCATTCATGCACTGTTGCAACACGTGAGCTTCTTCACAAATAGAGTGACACAGGGTCACACCGTATACACATTTGGTAAACACGGCCTAGCGACATTGCTTCTTTACAGGCCTCATGAGCTACCGATCCTAGCTAGTCTAGGTCTAACGGGCCTTGGTAGGCCCAATTTTAGCCCAACTTCTTCAGCCGTTTATAATGATTGTTTCACTTACTGATTCTTTACTCAATATCCATGTACATAGCACATATTTATAATAGTTAAAACAAAAAAACTGTGCTCTCAAATATGATTAATTTGGCTAATTGAAAATAATTTGCCAAATTCGGTATATTGATTTGGTGAGCGACAGCTTGAACCTTGATTAAGGTGCCAAATTCAGCCTGTCATCTCCACTAGTTTATTAATGTGTTATGTTGTCTTTAATGTTTTTAACGAGAATGGATCTAAATCTGATCCGAATATAGCCTTACTATAATCTAAAGAATGTTACCATATTTAGGATATACTAAATTTACCGTGAAGCTCTGGATGTTGAGAACTAGATTGTTTGTCCCTCCGTAGTCATCATTGCAAACATGGGTGAAACTTAAGATGTTGGTCAGACCAAAACTAAGCAATTGAAGTGAAATATATTAATTAACTATTTAATAGCACTATTAAAAAATGATTTATTTTAAAATTAGGCATATCAGAAATCTATCGTTTTTATATATTTTTTTATCTGATATAATATTCTTACGATTGTGGTAATTATACTATTGTTTTTTTCTCTTTTATTTAGTCAAAAGGCGCCCACCCTCCGCCTCCAGCACAGTTAAACAAATTCAAGGGAGGGCCGCTCGTGAAGAAGGAAAAACGTCAGAATTCATCACGATTCAACATTTCATCTAATAGAGAGTTGACCAAGTTACCTTTATTAAAAGGTTAGAAGTAATTTCTTTATTTTCTAAATGTAATTGATTTCTGTATCTTATGTTTGCTTTTATGCGTTGATTTGTTATTTCCTTCATCCAACAGCAAGGAAAAATCTTGTTGATATCCAACTTATTCCTCTAAGTCTAAGACACAAAAAAAATCGGTAATGGTTAATGAGATACAGATTCTGAATATTTAAAAACTGGGGAAAAGGGCATAACCAACCTTTTTCCCTAGTTTTTAAATATTCGAAAAACTATATCTCATTAACAATTCGTAAGTTTTTGTCAGACACCCTTTTCGTGTTTTAGAAAAATAGTTGTGAAACTTTTCATCAATTGTTTTTACTTTGGAGCTTGAAAAATTTGGTTATCTTGCATCATGAATTCATCTAGTCCAAGTGGTAATTTTGTCCCTGAAAGAATCATTCTTAATGTATAAAATATAATTTTTATATAATAAAATTGTAGACTAGGTTTTATAGTTAGAGTTGGCGATTATCAGTGATTTCCTCTAACACATGATGTATAAGATTGAGTCATTCATGGCATAGTCTAGGCTTATTATATATATGACCCAGAAATATTTTATGCATGTAATAGAACATACTGTAATGGCCGTTTTATACAAACATCTATTACATATGTTTTAATACTATTTTTCTTATGAAAATCCTTTTTTAACCTGATTATTATAGCCACTGAGATTATTGGGTGTAATTAGTGTAAAATGAATGCTTGTACAGCAAGTATGAATTTGAAAATTGTGTATGTGATGCGTGAAACTCGGCATCGCTTTACGTACTCATACTGTATGGCAATATATGAATGGAATTCATTCCAATTCGCACACGTTTCCACTTGACTGGTCTTCTCTATGAATCATTTTCGCTGACATTGCTGTGCACTTAGCAGGTTTACACAGAATTTTGCTATCAGTATCAGGAATATAAGGTGGTTTTTATATTCATGTACATGTTATTCTCATTTGATTGTATCTCAGTTGCAGATCCAGAGTGAGGAAGTGGTTAACATGAAGTGTTCTAACTTTAAAGACTTTAACTTTAAATAATATTGAATTAAGTATTGGAATTATAGTTCATTACCTAATTTGTGACAGGGCTGGAAAAAGTGCACGACCGCACATGAATGTCCTGGAGGAATTTTTTGGGTGGGGGAGTGGGGTGGTTAGGGAAAAATAAATAAAGTATTGTGTATGGTGCTGGAGGTTTGTTTTTTTTTTCGAGATACTGTAATTTTCATGGTCGGAGGCACAAAGATTTTTTTTCCAGCCTGTTGTCTGATATTATGGCTCCTTAAGATTGGCAATGAATGAAAAATCAATATGAATTAAAATATTATTCATTTGCCAAATTTGACTGCCAATGACAAACCGTATTTATCTTACCTTAGCCGTAATCTCACTGGACTATTCCAGTAAACTAACTGACAATTGGTTAATTTAACCGAGTGGATTTTGCCTAGTAAAACTGACCGGGTTAGTTTTACCAAGCTAAAAAGTAAATGCACACACGTAATTTACAAATTACAAAACTTTTATTAAACATTTACCAAGATACTACTAATCAGAATAGTCATAGTATAATTCCAATTTAAAGTTAAATAAATTATTTTATAGCAGATAAATGTGTTTAAAAGAGAAAATATCATGGTGTGTGGCATACAGTCTCGTACGCCATGCATGTGGCGTATAAATTAATAGGCTAATTACTTAGAAATTAATTTATAAAAAGATCCATAAATTTGCTATAGCATTATTTATAGACTAAATGCAGGGGATCTAAAGTTAAAATTTTGATCTTTTAAAATTTGGTTTTAGGGCTAATTTTTAGACTTCTACAGGTTGTGGCGTATGGGACATGACAAAAAAATCCCCATCTAAAAAATGTAATTTACACCGCATACCGCAATAAATAAAGTCACATGATCAGGACTGAATATTGGCTTATATAATATCCCATCATGTTGACTGGTAACATTAACAACTGTGTATAATCAATCCATTGGTAAATAAATAAAAAAATGAATAATAGTTTGAAAAATAGTAAAAATCAAGAAAATCATCATTTTTGTAAAAAAAGGGCTGAAAAATATATATCATTTTCATGAAAACTTGATGTAGTGTTATAAATGCAGTTCACCCAAAACCAGGTGTTTCGATCATAATTCGATTTGGCCACCTTTTGACTTTCTAATATGGAATCGCCCTCAAATGAAAACTAGAATATGAAAGCAAGCTAAAGCTAAGGTGAACCTGTCTATACCTGAGCATTAGACTCATACTTTATAAAAGATGGTTATAAGAATGGTATGAGCATTAGAATACAGTTTTAAGTTGCCATGGCACAACATGGCATTATCATTTAAATTAACCATTCTGATCAGAATGTATGGTAGCCATTGACACACGTGTTGGCATTTTGACGATGTAAAGAAGTTAAAGGGCTGCCCAATTTGAAAACAATGTCCTTGCAAAGCTTTTCTTTATGAATTGATTTCTAGAGTCCATTATGATATTGTATGAGTTATTCAGTTCACATCTTTCCACTCTTATTTCTTTTCTTTCATTCATTTCATTACCACAAAAACACAAAAGGTGCATTCCCGCTCAAATCACCCACCATGGTCATGTGACCCTTGGATTTCCTCAAAAAAATTCTAAAAATACCATGATATGTCAAAAGAAAGAATCCAAAATTTCAGCTTCAATTTCCAAGCGGTTTTTAAGTTATGACATTTTGAAATTTAGGTACCACGTCCCCTTTTTCATGCCTGAAATGGTTCCTTTAACATTGTATGGTTTTTACGAATCTATATCTGTGGAAATAATGATGATGAAACATTTTAAATTGCTACATAGACTGAAATTTGGCCTCTCTTTCAAGAAATACCATTGAAATTTGTGCACATTTATTAGAATGTTGCTCTATGTGCCACCCAAATTCCCCTGAAACATTAAAAAAAAAAAAAGATTTTTGCTTTTTCGGAGGGTCGTATCTTATTCTTTCAAGTGAGGAAATCAAAATGAAAAATGTGATGAATATGCTCATACTAATGTACTACATATACTGTACAGGCATGAGCAAACCCACTTGCCCGATGCCCGGGACAAGTGTTTTTTTACGGTCGGACAACAAGAATTTTAGGGACCACTCGTCCATGGACAAGCACTTTTAGAATAGGCTACTTCACCATGTAATGCATAATGCTTTCACAGTACTTATAAAAAGCCTGACTCTTCACAATGCGCAGCATATTTTAGTAACAAATTGTCAGCGCACAAAGAGAGATCAAACAGAAGACCGACTATGCTATGGTTACGCACAGCACAGGGTTCATCAAGTTAGAGTCAACACTCCTGCGATTTATTGACGGTTTAAAAGAAAAAATGTAGGCCTACTCAATATAAAATTTGTTATTTTCTGCAGTAAAGATTGAAGTAAGTAAAATTGTCTTCAGGACAAGTGCATTTTTGAAAGGTGCTTTTGTCGGGGGACAAGTAAAAAAATATGAAATTCCCTCATGCCTGATATATAAAAGTTTGCAAGGAAATTAGAGCAATAATGAATTTATGATGGGGTCATGAACATGGTTGCAGTACCATTGACCCTAAAATACCTAATAATTTGACTAAACGGATGACCCTGGTGACACTTAATATTAATTATGAAATTTATACGAGTACACAAATACACATATCATCAATGTACTATAAGTAGCAAGTTTAAACTTTAGTGTGAATTGATTTTTTTAAAAATAGACAGATTTCAGTGTATTATAAATATCAGGTCAAAGTTCAAATCACAAATAACTCCGAATTATACTTAATTAAATCTAGTTTAATAAGGTTAAATGGGTTACTATGAACATATATTTTCATTCAATTTTTTTTTTTACCTCATTTTGTATTAATCAAATGCAAAAATATTAAACCCAATAAAAAGTCATTTAGTTTTACGAAAAAAGGTTAAATAAAAAAAAAAATTAAAATGATTTAATAATACAACTTCATACAAAGCTAGCCTTTGTAGGGTTATCTTGTGGCATCATTTTAATTTCCTAATTCATCGTTGTTAATAAGTTATAGGTATATTAAATATGTCACTTAGTTACTGATTTAGTTACCATATTTCGATCCACCGTAAAGAGTCTTTTATGCAACAAGAGGTTTCTAGATGGATTTCTTTTTTATGTACCTCAAATTGAAGCTCCATTTGATTGGTTGCTGATCATTCTCTATCGTCATTACGGAATTCACTACTAGGGAACATTAAACTGTCACTAAATATACATATTTTCAAGAGTAGGCTAATAATAAACCTTAGCTTAATCGCATATTTTGAGCATCATTGAACGTAATGTTGCATTGTAAATATTGAAGTATATAAATTATCTCATCTATGTGTCTGTTTAATTCCAATTCAAAAGAAAAATTCATGAACCACTACTCCTCAATTGCATATTCTGAACACCACTGAAAATATTTTTGTATGGTAAATATTGTAGCTCTATGAATTATGCTTAGACCAGACTTTTTTTTATATCTTGTTTCACGAAGTTTTGTGAATATAGTCGGACGAGGACGGAAAAGAAAAATTTATTTCTTTTATTTTGCAAATAGTTTTGCCAAAAACATCCAGATGGAGGAGAAAATTTATTTATTGGCCAAAAATAAAATTTTATATTTATTTGAACTCATTATTATTGGCTGGCGGAAGGTACGCTAAACAAGGTATAAAGAAATTCTCGCCTTAGTCTACGTATTGTTATATTTCAATGCTTAATCAAAATAGTTACACACAAGGACAATATTGATTTAATTTATTTTACAAAGAAATTCCCCAGATTAACCAATGTCTTGTAAAATTGTAAGTCTAGATAATACTAATGGACTTTTTGACATCCTAAATTATTTTGTCTTAAGACTTCCATCTGTTATTCATTACAATTTCAATGAATAAATACTCTCTATTAATTTGAGGTAAAAATGTTTGATTAATGAAAATGATTGATTGGAACATAGCTGATTAGGTAGAACATGAACAGTGCTACTGTAGGTAGGATGAATAGAGGCATCACTGATGCAACGTTTGCTTTTTAAAATATAATAATTATTATATTTCAATTAATAGTGTGAGAATTCTTAAGAAAATTCTAGTCTTTGTGAATTATTTGAGTAAGATTTATTTTGGCTATAGAATGTAAAAACAAGGTATGTTAGTATTAGTTTACTATACCAGGGATGTCACCACGCTGGTCGGCGGTGGACGGGCCCGTCCAGCACTCAACATTTCCGACCAGGACTTACAGGCTCCCGGCCATCACTATTATTTCAACAGTTTACAAATTGTAACAAAATAATTAGTTTACCTAAACACAATAGACAAGCTAACCAGATAGATAAAGACAAGAAGAATACAATAAATGTTTCCGTGGTTACGTTAATTGTAACAAAATACTGCACTGCCCTGGTATTCATCGCTAACTTAACAGCCTAGGCCCAGTTGAGTCATAGCGAACGTTGTGGGCCGGCATGACACGGTTGCTGTACACACTCAAAGGTTAAAGTTCACAGGGAAATCCCTGAACTCCAATTAGAACGTCAATCAGCACATGCCTTTTCTTGTCTGCTAGCTGTAGTACTACTCACAGATACTATATTCAACATCGCACTCATTTTTTAAGAACATAATACAACCATGTGTTCGTCCGCAAATATGCAACTAAGGTACAACACAACCACACCGGCCCAACCGCGGCCACACACACACACGCCAAGCATGTGAAGTTGACAGTCGGATCGATGCTTTGTCGCTGGGATTTATTCATTATTATTTTTTAATCTAAAACAAAGCATGTCAACTATTGAATTTAATTTGGCCTACAGTAAGTCTCATCTTTATCTGTTTTGTTGCATTCCTCAAATTCTGGCCTAGGCCTACCTGGGCCTAGCCTAAAAAAATCGCATCAGCTAGCCTTGGGCCTAGGCCTGCTCGACTTAGGCCTTTTGGTTTTTAAGAGCTTTCACGAATACGGCGAAATTCAGTGAATTAAGTATTCACGTAAATGCTGTAAGTTTTTCGGCCGACTGCTTTGACGATCTAAGTATTTAAAGCCGTTTAAAAGTGATAAACTAATTAACTAAAATGGATGGTACACAATGCTCATTTTATTTAAATATAATTATCTGTAGAAAACTAATGGTGAGTGGTAAGCTCTAAATAATTATAGTGGATTTTAAGGATGGAAAAGTGGGTTAATTAGGTGGTTGGAGCGCCATGAAATTATCTTCAGACTGGGTGGAAAACTGCAAGGCCAGGTGGCCCTGCCTACCATACAGTAACTACATCCCTGAATTATATCCTGGTTTCTTTCAAATCGTTACACTGTCGCTACAGTGTTTTTCAGCATCAACAAAAGCTGTCGGCAATGGTGTGTAGTGATTGTATATGGAAACCAAGATACTGAATTTTTTTAACTATATAAAAGATTTCAATACTGATATAATACAAAATTTAATTACCAGTAATTATTTGTGAAAGGAGATAAATAAGCGAGTTTGCGAATGAGTTTTTCTTTAAGTAGGATAGGAGGCGCCCGAGTCCGAGATGGTTGAGAATCAACAAGTGCTGACCAGTTTTCACTTAGATCAATCCCTGGTTAGCGACGAGGGCGTATCCCCATACTTTGGGTGTGGGTGCTGGCTTGGCTTGGAACTTTCATCTTTATTTTTTTTTTTTTTTACGCCTTCACATTTCCAAGTATCTCTACACTTGTTTTTACAGTGGCTAGAGACTTTTTGTATTTTGCACCTTATAAATTTGAAACCATTAATCACCTTATTGGCTAAAGAGTGTGAATCTTTCTAAATGAACTTTCTGTTACTTAGTAGTATATAACAGTTAGGCAAGACTTTCTTTATACCTTGTTTAGCAAACCCGTCGACTGCAAATATTGATGATTTCAAATAAAAATATAATTTTATTTTTGGCCAATTAGCGCACCCGCTGCCACGAAAAAGTGAAAATTTCAGAAAAAAATAAAAATTTTCTTCATTTTTATAACACACTTTCCTGCCTTGAAATCTCCAATGATAATATAGTATATTTCTTCTTAATTATACAAATTTGAAGCATTTAACTAACCACCCTATTTAACATTCACCAGTAAAATTTTGTTTTTATTTTCTCCTCCGTCTGTATGTTTTTGGCAAACTTTGCTAAATAAAAAAACAAATTTTTATTTTTATTCCGGCCTCCTCTGATGATTTTTAAAAATAACTACGCAAAACAAGGAATAAAAATGTCTCACCTTACTTGGCTGGCGTTTATTGTTTGGCTTTATCCTACCTGTGCTTGATTCCTGTTATGCACCCCATTAATACACTTGCGTGCATTAGCTGAAAATAGACACCATGAAAATCAAAATGTTGTTTAATTCTTATAAAAAAAAAATAAAATGAAATATTTTTAGGCTGTAGCTTTAAGTGTATGTTTGTACAGTGTTTGTTATCTTACTAAATGCTCTGCTTATCCAAGTTTTACAGGTAAATCTTTAATGCAGGTGCAAGCTATTACATGTCTTCACAAAATATATCCATGAATGTACTTTATGTATGTTTGTGCATTTATTATCTACAAACTTTGGCAAATAAACATTCCAAATCCAAAGTTATTTCATTGAATTCATAGTACACTTTGAATGCCATTGGTGTTTACGTAATTCATTTACTTGATTTTTTTTTAATCTAAAAAATTATTTTTATAGGTTTAAAAGTACAGAACAGAAGGATTTATTATTTTTTCTATTTTCTAATTTGTTTTAAGGTGTGTCCACACTATTAAATTTTATGTGACAAATAACTGTTGTGCCCTTATATGGGCATGATGTCATATTATGTCAAAAAATGCGCAAATCACAGCTAATTGTCACATAAAATTATAGCGTGATCACAGCTTTATTTGGCTGAATTTGTTTATTATTTTCTTTCTTTTTACTTTATTGCAGACTTATCTAAAATTAACAAAATAAAAACATTTTAAATTATATCTAATTGCTATACAATGATATACTACCTCGTGCATATTCAAACCTTATACAAACGAATGTCTTTCATTGGTTAAATTATAGATACCTCACCAGCCGATAGAGAAGACTTGTTCATCCAAAAGCTGCGACAATGCGGAGTTTTATTCGACTTCATCTCGGATCCACTGAGTGACCTGAAATGGAAGGAAATCAAGAGGGCGTCGCTGAATGAACTGGTTGAGTATGTGACGCATCAACGCGGCGTCATATCGGAAGCTATTTATCCGGAAGCTGTTCACATGGTATTTATTTATATTTTAATTTCAAATCGTTGTTAATAGGACGGTCATTCTTGGTTATCCAACCAACATGTCATTTTAACAAGGATGATCATCCTGTACAGATGTTCATTTTGAGAGCCTAAATATGATCACTCAAAATAGGGGGAGATATAAACCTACTTTCATGAAAGATGGCCTATTAATTTTGTCCAAGGATTACAGATTAAACACTTAAAAAATGCTGGCATTTTCTGATGGATAAATGTGACTTCATTTCTACAAACTAAGCTGATAATATTAGTAAACTTTAGTAAAATCTGAATGGTAAGTATTATTTGGTAAGAGTAAGTAATATGACAAAAATTACTATAATCTATCAAGTTTTGGAATAAAGGATTACTTTACGTTACTATTATACCTCACATTCTGCTGTTTAATTTTACTATCAATTATTACCAGTGCCATAGTAAAGTAGGCAAAGTCATGCCTGGCAGACATTCTAACAACAGATTTTTGTTTAATATTTTGCCTGCACTGAATGTCTTCAAGCTAAATCTTTTATCAAAATGCGTGTACTTCCAACCTCAAGTAACAACCTACGTCAATGGATTGCGAGATTTATGTGCAATTAACATTGTTGTAAAATAATGTAATGTACGAGAAAATGTTGCTACATTTCTGTTCTTCCTTTCAATCCATCTATATTCTTGAATTATTGACCTTTCTACTGGACGTGACCTTTGCAGAAGGCACCGTGATGTCGCCAACTTCCCAAGCATTCCTTACTTCGGCTTCTCGGTGCATTTTCTCAATTCTGATTGACTCATCTTCGAAGTAGATGTAGCTTGGTGATAGTAATCAAAATGTCTTTTTTTTTAAGCTTGAAAATTGAATAATGTTACTACATCTTGAGCTTGATTTTCAAACATCAATAAATCAATTGTAAAAAACTGCCTCTGTTTTATACATTATGAGATTTTTTTAGACTGAAAAACAAAACAGTTCTTGTGAAATAAAAATATCTTTTTCCTTGTTTCATGTCAATAAAGTATCTGCATTCAAGGAATTTGTATCGTTTGAGTAGCATCATTCGCCTAAAAAATTCTATTGCCTTATTCGGTCTTTCTTTTACAGTAGTTACACTGTACTTAAGATCTTTGTGTAGGGTATCAGTATTGCTACCAGTTCCTTGCAGGGCAAACATTTGTTGTCAATTCTTTTGATTCTCGTATAAATGAGTGATGTTGATGGATTGTTAAAAAAAAAAACCAAAAAACCAATAACCAATATTATTTATTGCCAGTCAGTGATGAATGCCTGTCACAATCCAATTTGTTATTGAATTGATCATATAATTATTCAAGTTATGAATAGTTTTCTCATTAATGACATGTTTATACAACATATTTTCTAATGCATTATGACACCATTTTTTATTAATAATTTTTTTTCGTTTTAAGTTTGCAGTGAATATGTTTCGTACTCTCCCACCTCCCTCGAATCCATCTGGCGCCGAATTTGACCCGGAAGAAGATGAACCAACGTTAGAAGCTGCTTGGCCACACCTACAGGTACAGTATGTCATTATTCATATCCGCTTTTGCTTATTTAATTATAGTAATTAACATGCTGCGTGGTCTTTTGTGCGAGTCTGCACAAGAAATCTCTGGAGACATCCTCTATTAAAATGATGTTCTTGAGAAGGCTACCAGAGGAGGTAAGATATGTTTGACTGGGAGAGAAATGTACTAGCATCGGCTTGTGATATCCAACCAACATTTGACCAAAAGCTCTGCTAACCGTATTTGTTCACATAACTAAATGTATTTATAATGAGAGACATAGAAATATGAATGTCTATATTGAGTGTTTTTGTAAAGATTATATGTTATTATTATTATTAGAAGATGACTTTTAATAGCGTCTTTATTCATCATGTGTTTTCTTTGTTTATAACATATTCTACCATGTTAATATAAATTGTAAAGACCCATTATGACATGTACTTGTACTTGATTAATTATTATTGGGTTGAAGACAATATTATCTACCTAGATGAAGTGGCTTCTTTAGAACTACAAGCTGATGTTGGATCTTTACATGTACAAGTCTTATTTCACTTTTGACCTTTATAAAAACACAATATATATTACAAACCGATAAATTTGGTAGCTTGGTAGCCAGTTACAGTTAAAAAATTCGTAAATACGATGACGACAGTGCTGGACAAAAAGCAGACTGCTTCACTTGCTGGGTTTTTAGCATTATGGTGAATGCTTTGGGAAAAACACTTTTTTCTTCATACTGTATAGAACCACTGATTATATGGCCTTGAGTTGACCTTATTCTAGATTTCATTTACTAATAAAAAAAAAAATAATAATAATAATAATATAATATAATACACAATATAATATAATATGATACATATTTTCTATTTCTTTGCGCAGACATGAAGAGTCTTGCAGAGTCTAGCCTGTTAATGGCTAATGGTCTAGAAAACACAGTTTAGGATACTAATGTACTGTAGCATAACTGCCAAGTAATGTAAATATATAATCAGGCCTGCTTGCCGTCAATTATTCATGAATGCAAAGCTTCTGTACATATGCTTAATTTTCAATCCTTTCTTTCGTGTATAGTTACTATGGTTACCTATATCCTAGTGATTCTTCTCGCAGTGATAGATAACTGGCAGTGAACGTTGATTAAATCTTACCGGACTGTTAATAGGCAATATTAATAACGAATGCAATAGAGTGCATTTGGCTATTATCCCCTATCATGTAGTATACATGATGGTAAGTGGGAGAGAGCCTAATATTGAGGAAGTTAATTAGAAAGTACCCGTAGGCTGGCCAGGAAATAAACTCTTGTGTCTTGCTTTCATTGAGTTTCCTTCTTTAGTGGGATAATTAAGCAGAGTGACCTTGCTAAGACCAGCTGTATATGATGGCACTTCTCACAAGGAGGATATTGCTATACAACTAATATCAACATCAGAGTGTGCTAAGTCAAGACAGGGAGTTGTTGTAGTGACTATAAGACCCTATAAAAATATTTATTAGTTTATTATCCTATGTAGGCTGGGAAAGTGATGATATAGGGAGGCTTTTTATTTTTTATTTTGCTAAAGCCAAATATAAACCTCAGGTTGTTTGCTGGTGCACTGATATTCAAAGGAAAACATGATTGAGATAATACAAACAATATATACTAAATATTTACTAATATAAATTTTTTAATTTATATATTTTTTTTCAATACCATAGAAGTCATGCAGGAGGGTGATAAACTAAAATTTTTTTTTATTGGCCCTAATGAACTCTCAGGTCAAGATTAGTGTATTATGACTGCTATTAGTAGAAAACCTAATATATCAAAATAAATATTCAGATCTTTTTTCAAACAAAAATTTCAGTGTTAGTAAGATTTTTTTTTCAAAAATTTATTTCTTACCAAATATTGAGATGCAGGGTTTGGTATTTTGGCTTGTATGATAAGATTATGGATTAATGGATAAGTTGAAAAATGTGTACATTGCCTTGATTAATATTTGATAATCATCATCATGTATCCCTAATTACCTGCTGTATAAGCCAAATTATTATTATTATTATTACCCATACTTACTGTAAATTGTAAATGTCATTGATATTTTGCATCTAGGGTAATGGGTCAGAAAACTATTATACTTTTTTCTCGACCACTGACCTCATTAAATTGGATGAATCTTGCGAATTGAGATTTGGTTACCAGTGGATGTGTTTACCTCTTGTCTAATCTTCAGTGTTTGATTATCGCTTATACTGTAATGGACGATGGTGCTACGATGTGATACGATGACTTCTACTTAAGTCATTGTATTACAGCAATCAATTGTCCTGAAGTTGTCCTTTTGCTTACTTTTAACATAAATTTTCCCAATAATATCTTAATTAGACCAAGTAAATAAAAAACATAATTTCTTGAGATTTTGAAAAAAAAAAAAAAAGAGAGAATGAGCACACTTTTTTTTTCTCCGAGATTGCAAATCCATGATGGTCGATGGGAAACTACTATTAATTTCTCACTTTTACCAAGTAGACACCTTGAAAGCAAATAAAAGAAGCAATAAACATGGTTCATACAGTGACAAGTATCCCCAACCATGAACGATTGTGAGAGGAATTTTACTAATGTGATTAGCTAAAGTTTTGTACATTTTGTAAGATATAGGAAATTAAAGGGGGGGGGGAAATGGTGAGGCAGAGAAAATGGATGCACAAGGAGATGAGAAACTAGAATTTTTTTTTAATTGGCCTTTTGCATTAGAAACCAAAATGCAGAGAACAATGTCTTATCTTAACTTAATGATATAACTCAACACTTTATGTACAATTTTTTTTTTTTACTCTGGCTTTCGTCCCCACTGCGTAGGTGAAAGCTAGAGGAAATAAATGTATACTTTAGTCTTTAAAATGCCGAGTTCTATCATCATTTATATTGTCCAAAAGCAGACTAACACAGATACACATTTTGTTTATCTTAATTAACTTGCACAAGTATTCAGGGACTCGTACAATAAAATGTTTTTTTTTAAGTAATAAGAAATACTCGGATATAACACTTTTTGAAAATCTACTTTTAGCTGGTGTATGAATACTTTTTGCGGTTCCTTGAATCACCCGACTTTCAACCAAGTATAGCCAAGAAGTACATTGATCAAAAGTTTGTTCAAAATGTAAGTGCTCTTTCTTTATTTCTTTTTTTAAAAACTTATTTTGTAAATTTGCTGTCTCCTAATAGTTACGACACCTTTTTGAATAAAAATAAAATTATTAGCATATTTACTACTGTGAAAAAATTAGTATTTCAGGAAGATTTTTTCATGTTTGGCTCTGTCACAAAATATTCCAAATAAGAATTTAACAAAATACAAATTTTCAGCATCTTTTTATATTTTTTGTTTCCTATTGAATAATATCATCAATACAAGTTCCAGCATCTCTGTGTTTACTTTAAATTACCGTATATACTTGCGTATAAGGCGACCCACGTATAAGGCGACCCCCGATTTTGAGAAGATTTTGGACAACTTTTGCATGTTGGGTGTATAAGACTACCCCCTGTTTCATGGTCGGAATTCCTAATTTTTCTGCTTTTTATGGTCCTGATACTTCACTAAACGGAGCCAGATGTAAGGCTGATCTTCAAAATAATACAATTCTAGTATAAGAGTTTAAATGTTTATCAAAATTTTATTTCCCCTTATTTAAAATTGCGTTCATTCGTACTAACATTTAATAGCTTATTGCAGTAAGTTCACTTGTTAATGACGCACCGTAGAGAAGACGAATATTGTATGTCGTGCGTATAAGACAACCCCCTGTCTTTCAATCGTAATTTGCTATTTTAAGCCTCATTTTATACGCAAGTATATACGGTAAAAGTAGAATTACTTCCATTCCAAGTGATTTAAATTGAACTCCATCTACCCTAGTGTTATATTGATTATAACATCTCATTAGAAACTACTCTTTATTATTAGTAATTACATTTATCTACCCTGCTTCCCAGAAAGAAATACACATTATTTCATCTACATAAAGTGTAATGATAATTTACTATTTCTTCATATGTCATAGAAAAAAAAAATTCTCTTGTTGAAAATTTACCTAATGTTCCTAAACCAACAAAAATATCCAAATCACATCCTATTTTTCATTTCCAAAACAATTTCATAAAACATAACTATAAAATACAATATAAAATGAAATTACACTGAGGATATTGAATCGCACAACCTTTATTTGAATTTAATGTTGTATTACTTATATAAATTTTTTATGTATCAATTTTCATGTATCAATCCTGTTATGGGCGACACTGGTCGCTGTTGGCTGATGTTGAAATAAATTTAAAAAAACAAAAAAAACAAGTGCAGCCTTCATCTGGATGGACGCTTGTTAACTAATTAGTATTAGTCTATTATTACAGGATTCAAGTTTAAATATAAAACTATAAATTGACTTCCAGAAAAGTAGGCAGACCTTTTACTTAAGGAGAAGGAGCTGCTTTACTATATCTGTATCTAAAGCAATATTGTTTTCTATTGAGAGAACAATGGATTTCTCAGTGAAGTTACTTCATAAAGTTAAACAATACGTACTGATTGGATTTATTAGGTGTAAACACCAAGAATAGCCCACGAAAGTCTGAAGAAGACTTATTTCCAATGGGGTCCTTCTGGTGGTGATTGGGCAGTACACAGGGAAACAATCCCCTACTCTTTTCTGAAGAGTGTACTGCGTTCTTTAGTGTGCATATGGGTCATAATGCATACAGGACCAACAGTTTAAACGTCTCATCCGAAAGATGGTACGCTATCATAACTTTGAATAATTGCTTTTGATTTTACTTAGCATGATTTTAAATAACATAAAGCATGGAAAAATATAATATTGGCAAAAGGAGATTAAAAATGAAAATAGATTTCTCTAGTCTTCTTGAGTCTTCTAAAATGAAATGAAATTACAATTACAACTTAATAGAATAAAAGACTAACTAATGAACAAATAGCAAACATTAACAAATATAAGAAAAAAAAGACTGTAATTAGACTAACATGTTCTTTAATTAAAGCCCTTTGTTATCTAAATGATTCCTAAAAATAATTTTTAGAATATTCAAAGAATAATAATTTTTTGTTTCATAAATTTGTTCTTTCATAATCAGTTGTAAATTTGAGCAGAAAACCATGCAATGTGACTATTTGGCATTGCATAGTATACCATAGCATGCTACATACTTTCCCCATATACATTTTGAAGCCTAATTCTAGTTTAAATGAAGAACTCATTAAGATATTCATGACGTCTTTCGAGTGTTTTAAGTACTCTTCATTAGATGTTTACATGTTTACCCACGTTGTTTGATTACCAAAAAAAAAAAAAAAAAACTACTCAAGTCTGTAATAAATTGGACATTGTTTACATACATCCGCTAGCTAATGAATTGGCGCTGTGTGTGATATGTGGATGAGTAGAACGACCTAGCCAAATCGTTAACTCTGAATTATATTAATCCCTCTTTGGAAGATTCTGTATGTAAAATTATTAGTCAATTGTAATTAGTACATCAAGTTAGATTAATGAGGGTGTTGAAATTGCAAGGAATGTTTAAACATTCACATGATTCAAACCTGATGTGTTATTATGTTGAACTTGCCAGGCATGTTGTAAATTGAATGTCATCCATTCTGATTCTGTTCATTTAATACTTGTTTAGTTTATTACCTCCGCCAATGAGGTTATGTATACATACCGGTCTGTGTGTCAGTTAGCAAGATTATGCAAAAACTAAAGAATGGATCCTCATAAAATTTAGTGGAAAAGTAAAAGAGATGATTAACTTTTTTATGTTTCCCCCTTGAACGAAAATAAGTATAATGGAATCGCCCATACACGGCCTGCATTACACAGTATCTAGGCATAGGGCAACGGTATGCACTCTATGGATTGACAGCTGTAGTTTGTTAGTTTTTTTATTGACATTTGTATTGTAACCCTTTAAGTTAGTCTCGAGAGGGGAAAAAATGTTTTAACTTTGAATGAATTGAATTTTATAGGTGTATTTGTTGTGATGTAAAAATTAGTTCCGTTAAAAACAGGCTCCGGAGATAAAAAATGTGTGATATCAGAGTTCGAAATAACGCAGGTCCGCCGGCCAATGACTAGTAAAATGCATGGCGGACCTGGTAATTATCCCAATAACAAGTCCGCGTGACCAGTTAAAATGTCAATGAAAGTCTGACGAAATACCAAAAGCTTTACTCATTCACCTCTTAACGATGTCTTTACAAAATATTTCACACAGATAATGTCAACAAGATCGCTATTTTCTGTTTATTGTCATGTTAATGTCTGCTACGAACAGCCTTGGGCTCAGTCATTCAAGGCGAACCGATGAACATCACGCACTAGCTAAACCATGGAGGAATCCATGGCTAGACGTACAGAGGGAAATCACCTTGTCCGCAAGGGGAAGTTGATTTCCGTCTGTGAGCACCGTGAATTTAAAACATCCATGTCATGTATCCATCCCACAATGCAACGTGGGATAAAAGTTAATAAACAATGCAACGATTTTCAGACGAAATAATGCAATAATTACACCCTGTGAATGAACCGTTCGTACAGTCCCAAACAGATTATCTGTTAATTAAAACGACACACCAGTAAAATGTTAAAGTGAAAGTTACGCCTTCCATTGATTTAATAAAGTGCATTATTGCCTTATGAATACTTAAAAACGACTGTAATCAACCTGAAATGAAAAAGGAACTCAAAGCAATTGTTTCTACAACGGCTCTTTTTCAGTAGACGTTTAATTCGGATGTGGTGTGTCATTAGATTATCAGTCTACATATAAATTACACTCACATTCCCCAAAAACATTGCTAATTATGGAGGGAATTTGCAGGGAATGAAATTTAAATTTGTTAGATTTCTGTTTAGATTTGACTCTACAACAAAACCACAAGGGTTTCTTATTCATTTTAATAAATTTATTTAATTAAAAATGTATCTGTTTACACTAAGCTTGTTCCTGTCAGCAAACTGTCACACACTATGAAACTTTGGGCGATCTGACGTCACCACAGCCAAGCACATGGGATTTTTGCCCAGCCACATGACCCCACGAAAAAAATTAACCAATGAGCGGGCAGAGTTTAGGTGGCACGACCTGATATTAATTTTCAGTCGCAACGTGACCACGAAGAATGTGTTGTGTTTACAGTTTAGAAAAAATGTCAGACCGAAAATGCACGTAAAAACAATAAAAGCATTCATTTTATTAGTACAGTAATACAATTTGCTGTGCACTACAGCTAAACAACAGGTACTGTACGTATTATATGTTAAATGTTAACTTTTTGTAGGCTAGTCATACCGAATTCACTGGGTTATACTAAGCCTAGCGTCTAGGCTAGACCCTAACTGGCCTTCCTTATTCGGAAAGGATTCAATAGAAATGTTCCACAAACCGATCTTTCAGGAAAACCGAACATCGTATTGTGAAAGGGATTGAGGACCAGTAAAAATATTAATTTACTGTCCACTTGGCTAGTTAAAAAAAACCTTAAGGGAAACCCCTGGATATGTTGTTCCACTGACTTTTCTAGTATGCAGAAAGCATATTTTTTCCATCTTTCCCACCAGTTTTTTAATATTCACAAATTGTATTTCATGAACTGTTTCCGAGTTTCTTTTGTCAAATGCTTTTTTGTGTCGTAGAAAAGTCAGTTGTACAACATATCAAAAAGAAAGTTTTTCCTACGGAGCCTGACTTTAAGATGATAAAGGAAGGAATCGCTTTAATTTACCCTTCTACTTAATTCAGTGAGGCAACCAGAAATGCACAGAGAGGCTACTATAGTAGGCGCTGGCTAACCGCTTGTTTCATAGTTTTAATTTTGTGTATTAATTAAAATTTTAATAAATTGTTTTAATTATAATCATAAGCATACAATATAATTAATGAAATAATAAATGATGTCTGTATTTTGTAATTAGTATCATGCTTCATTTATAGTTAATCTGAAAATGGTGTTAATTTATACCAAAAATTACAATAAGCTTGTCCTTAAATCTATTTATATCCATGTTGCCTTATCTTCATAATCAGGTCTTGTGCTTTTTGAATATTTGTTTAATGTCCTGATTATTCTGGTTTTATATT